AGATAGCTAATGCTTTCCATAATCAAAAGAAATTATTAATACAATCTAAAGAATGTATTAATCATTCAAACAAAATCACAAAATCTGGTCCTAGTCTTTCAGTTTGCCTTGTATCCCCCGGTTTATGTCAAGTATGGATAAAAGCTGTACACTGGAAAGTTTTCAGTCAGGAAAATTGTATTGGTATTTAATTAGTACCACATATGACACAGCTCTTTCTGGTGCAGAGTACTGACTCTTTACAATTTTTCTTCTTTTTTTCTATGTCCCAAAGGGTTTTAATTTCCGTTCAATAATCTCTTTCATAATTGGCAAGATCTGAGATTTCCACAGATTTTCTCTCAGTACATCCAGTTGTCCCATACAAGGAGAACAAATATAATTATGAGAGCAAGCTTCCAAGAGAAAATATCCTTATCAGCACAGGAGGACAAATTAAAAATGAATAAAGCATTCCTCTTCTAACACATTATGGCAAGTAGGTTACATGAGTTAGATTTTGAGATGTCAATATATGCGTTAGAGACATCAGTCTCTGACGTTCTTACAGGCTCCTTTTCTCTAGATGGAAAATTAATTAAATAATAGAAAATTTAAACTGTTTGTTTATTTATTTGTCTTTAGCAATATTGTGCAACTTCAATAATATTCACAGAGGATGATTGATCATTCCTGGTACTGGGGATTATTTTTACTGCTGGTGAACCATCCCTCAGTCTCTCACCTCCAAGGTTTCCCTGAGCCTTTTGTAGTTTGTTTCTCTGGTCACCAGCGAGGTCCAGTCCACTCTCCATGAGGAGGTCTGTAAGTTTCTTTCCCACACATCCATTGGCAGGGTTGAAATTAGTTGAATGAGAGTGTTTGCATTTTTTGGTTTTGAATCTGCTTCTTGCCTGGATTTGCACGACGTACCCCAATTCTACTGGAAAAGACGGTGAACGATTTACCTCTATCATTCTTATCCATGGCACTCATAACTTTACTTCTGTCATGTCATCCTCAAATTTGTACTCCTTTTCTTCCCAAATAACTCACACATTGCTCATGGAAATGTCTATTTCCCGACTGTGCCTGTGGCCTTCCTTCAAAACTCATCTTGTTCTTCCACATCTTTTCAGGGATGAGGCGATTAGAGCTGAAAACTTTACCCATGATGTGAGAGAAACATTGATTTGTGCAATGACAGAATTCTTCTTTGTTTCTACTTCTTTCTCAGTACTTCCTAATACTTGAGTAACTTTCCAGGCAGCAGCTGGGCACCAGCCCAATGTTGTCATTGATCACTTGATCCTAATTACCAGGGCTTTAAGTTCAGAGTCTTTTTGATTCCCTTTGAAGTTATACCAAGGTGTACAAGGCTATTCTAACTGCTTCTTTCCTTTCTGGTACATACTGCCTGAGGCGTGGTGCACTGGAGCAAGAGACATGGAGATTTTGCAGTCATGTCAATATGAGTGGAAGCTTTTGTATGGAATGGACAGTTCTGCCAGAAACATTTATCTTCACGCTAATACAGAGAAAGAAATTCCATGTTTTTCTCACTATTCTTTGGGGTTTTTTTTCTTATCTCCTACAGATCCAGTTTTAATTATACAACTTCTATTCCCATTCCACTTTAACTTGAAATTTAAAGAAATGCCAAAGGAGATAAGGAAAGATAATTTGTCTTGTACTAGTCAGCCATCATGACATGAAGACCTAAATTCCTTTAAGATGTCCATTTTCCCTGTAAGATATACAAGGTAAGTCCTCATGAATACATCCTAGAGCAGAAACAGCTGAAAGTAGATCTATTGCCAGTTGTAGAAAGGGGAGGTAGTGCTCTGCTTGGCAGTCAACTTTAGTTTCACCTTCCAGGCTACTTTGAGGCATCTCTTCCCTCTAAAGAATTTTCATATTGTTTAATGCAACTAAAAAGTCTATTCCTCAGCTGTAGTTGTTAATAAAAAATAAGTGCTGTTAATAAACAACTACTATGTGGAAGCTGATTCAGTTATGGCATTTCTACTTCATAAGTTCTGTAAATGTCCCTTGTAGCACTTCATGTGAATAGTTCCCTTTTAGAAAAATGCAATGGTCACTTTTATGCTTTAAAGAATTAAGGTAAGATTAAAGCCCTTCAACTTAAACATCTGTTTCCTACTAAAATAATGTCCTGGTATATGTCTCAGAAAAAGAATGTGATTATTGTGTCATCAATAATCTATGTGGGTGATGTTTTCTAAACAATGCAAGAAAGATATTTGCAAATTATGCAAAGCTAAAGATCTTTAACCCAAATCTTAACTGTTCATGGAAGCTAATTACTAAAATAGTTTAAACCAAAGGAAGTTCCAGAAAGTTTTAAATATCCTCTACTAGCTGTGGCTACTTCAGATGTCCATCTTCAGCTAAAACATGAAGCACATTTTGTACTTTTGTTTCTGTAGTGAGATCCATTCAAAACAAGTATTACCTCCTGTATCTCTTCAGGCCAACAAATTACAGCTATTGGTCAAAAGAAAAAAATAAATCAAGCTCTAAGGAGCTTTAGAGGTCAACAGAAATGCCCTGAAATTGAATTCCCCTTTTCAAATGAAACTCAGTGCATTGTTGTGGGCAAACTGGGTCATTTAGTACCAAAGCTCTCACTTAGTCTAATCCTCCCAGCCTGTTTGAAGCCCTGTGAGGAGATGAACTGCCAGAATCCTAGTTCTGGTATTTTCACTGCCAATGGAGCCCTACAGCTTCATTGTATCAAATACAAACAGCATGATCTTTCTGATTATCCAAAATTTAGCTGTGATTCATATGAAGGAACAGTACATCTAAGCTAAGCTTTAGACAGGCAAAATAGGAGAAATTCTGATAAAAAGGAAAACCTGTAAAAAAATTGCCTCTTTCTTTATATCCCTTGCTATCAAAACTGTCTGCCTACATGGATAAACTTGTTTTGAAATTATCAAATTTTAGATCTTTGAGCAATTTCTATGAGTTATATAATGAATAATATAATCAAAAATCTCACTGACTTTGTTAGCAGTTTTAGATTTAGTTTTTCAGAAAGAAACAACTGGTTATCTCAGTTACCTGGCTATCTGTGCAAGTTAAAAGAAACAAACCATATTTTGCAACAAGGCATACAAATCTTCATCAGCCAGATGCTGACACACTGTTGCAAGTGGCCAAAGCAACAGCAGATTAGAATGTAGATTTTCACAGAACCTAGGAAACCAGAGAAAACCATTGTGTCATCTATTCTGGCCACCTCGGCATCAGATCTTGTTCCATTTCACATGGCCATCATTTTTCCAAACCTCATAATCAGTGTTTATCTTATGCTCTTGTTACATTGTGCTCATGGGCATCCTGTTCCCCCTTCCCCGGGACCCTGTGACTCTGATCAAGATAACCCTGGATCCCTCCTTCCTGCCCCAACGGGGTTAGTGGAGAGCCAGAAAAGCCCACCCTGTCCAAAGTCTATATAGACCCCTGATATTTCCTGTTCATCCTCTTTTGCCCCACTCTCCCCAAGGACATCACAGAATAAAGAGAGCTGCACCAACATATCTCGGGGTAAGAGCCTCTTTTGGAAATCTTTGCCATCTCCTGATATTCCTCCCCTCAAAGCCTCATATCTCTGGGCTAGCCTGATAATTCAGGGGGGCTGAGGAAATAATGGAGTCCTCTGTATTCGATATTTCAATTGTTTTTCTCAAGATAGTCTTGCATGCCATTATAGGATCCTGTAGCATGATTGCTGTGTCCTGAAATTTCCTGTCCTATGGCTCATGCAATGCCAAGAGCTAAAAATATGTCCTACAGCAAACCAGTCCATCCCAAATCTTTTCCCATGCATGATATAACTTTGCCATCTCAGCCAGTGAAGGCACCTGAGGGACTGATCCATGTGGATGTCTGTCCTGTCTCCATAGACTCAGTGGAGCCACTGGTGAAGCTCAGTTGAAGAAATCCCACAGTGTTGTACACAGAAACTTGTCAATCACATGAAGTCATGTTTTCCTCTGCAGCTAGCTTGTTATAAAACAGAACGGCAACTTTTCTTTGCAGTGAGGCTCCCTCTCTGCCCGTGTCACAGGCAATGTCACCTTCTAGCAACATAACTGTCTCCAACAATAAGATTCAGAAAAAAAAAATCTTTCAAGCACATTCCAGAATTAATGTGAGGCAAAAATGTCTCCTTCCACATGGGTTTTTAGAGTGATATGCTGATTGTCTGAGCATGGATTTCTTTTAAGTTGGTAAGCCTGTTTCCCTCATCCCCAGAATTTGCATTAAACAGATGTGTCCAACAGGAGATAAAAAGGGGGGAAACAGCTTAAAACATCTTCAAATTATGAAAAAAATACTTCACAAGCCCATTTGAAGGACAAAGACTGAAAAAGCAACTTTAAAGATAAATTTATTTGGGTTTTATCTTTAATTGGTATAGAAGGAAATACTACCATTTGTAATTTATATCATTTCATTATGAAATATTTCTGACTGCATAATAAGTATCTGCCATGCATAAATATGCTCAGGGTGTCACTCCACAGTCCTCCCACACATACCATTTCAATTCAAGGCAATAGCTTGGCAAAATTCCTATCAGCTCCATTAGGAAAGTAGCTTGCATAAAAATACAGGATTCAATTACGGGAGTATATTGTGGAAACTCAAATAGTCTCTCTCATATTCCTGGACAGCGAAAGTAGTCTGTAAGGACAAATTCCTATTATTTGCACCAAGTCCATTATGCAAGTGAACAAAGAAAATGCTAGAGATTATTTTATCCCACGAGTTTCATTTTTAATTTAGACACACTGACATGAATTTTGTTACAAAAGTCTAGTTTTGAACTCTTTTGTCTGTTTTGCAGAAGGGCCTAATATTTTTCATGGGATTTTCCTTTTTGGTCTTCTTCTGTCAACATATACTGCAGGGAAGAGCTTATACACAAATTATTGTGTGGAAAATACACTCTTCAGGCACTCCTGGAGATAGTAAATGAAGTGAAGATGAGGTAAAACAAGAGATGGAGAGATGTAAAAATGACCCTCTTTTTTCCTAAAGTGGGACTGACAGAAAGTCAATATAATGACTTTGACTCTTTTTTTTCTTGTTTCTTCATCTGCAGAGACTGGGGAGATCATAGAATCATGGAACTATGAAGATTGGAAGAGACCTTTGAAATCAGATAAAAGAAGGAAAAGGATAATCCAGGCTTCAAACCTCTTTGCTGATTTTTGCATAATTTGAGATTATTTGGGTTAAATAATTTAATCTCTTCTACCACCAGATAAATTGAAAATAGCCAGAAGGTCAGTACTTGTAGCACCACTGGTTTGGGTTTTGGTCCTATCCAACACAGACACACAGAATACTAAAAATCAAAGAGTTCAATCATTGGTTTTGGCAATGTCCAGAGATAAAGTTCTACATGTCAGATGTAATGATTCATCAATATGATATACACATACACACAGATAAGTGTATCTCATGCTAATAATTACACTCAACAGATGTAGCATAATACAAGGTACAAATAAATAGTTTGATTTAAACAGTTTGAAATATAATATACAATGTGAATGTTATCTATGGTTAGAGTGGCAAACCCTTCCATAAATGGGGGGTAAATACTAAATTGTCCAGTTGTCTAAAACACATGCTTCTTTAAGCATCTTAATCTCAATGCTGAAATCAACAGTGCCCTGTCTCTTCAGTGACAGATACTCTAATTACATTACAATCTACAAAAAGTGGCAAAGAATAAAAATTAGAACGGGTTTAGCCCCATTCTAAAGCAACAGCAAGATTGTCTTGGGCACTATAAAAGAGATATGTAACTCTCAACTGCAATTTCAAAGTTTTTACCAGCAAAAAATATTGAAGACCACAGTAAATAAAAAATGTTTTTACAAATATATTAATGGCAAAAGGAAGGGTAAGACCAACCTTTGTTCTCTACTGCATGTGGGAACTTAGTAACTGCAGGGGAGGAGAAGGTGGAATTGCTTAATGCCTTCTTTGCCTCAGTCTTTAGTGGGAAGATGGCTTGTCCTCAGGACAACTGTCCTCCTGGGCTGGTAGATGGTGCCAGGGAGCAGAATGGTTTCCCTGCTATCCAGGAGGAGGCAGTCAGAGGACTGCTGAGCCACTTGGATGTTCATAAATTAATAGGCTCTGATGGGATCCATCCCAGGGTTGTGAGGGAGCTGGCAGATGAGCTTGCAAAGCCACTTTCCATCATTTGCCAACAGTTCTGGCTCACTGGTGAGGTTCCAGATGATTGGAAGCTGTCCAATGTGACACCCATTCACAAAAAGGATGGGAAGGAGGATCTTGTTAATTATAGGCTTGTTAGGCTGACCTCAGTCCCTGGATAGGTTATGGAACAGTTTGTATTGTCATCACACAGAACTCACAGGATGGCCAGGGTATCAGACCCAGCCACCATGGGTTTAGGAGGGGTAGGTCATGTTTGACCAACCTGGTCTCCTTTTGTGACCAGGTGACCCGCCTGGTGGATGTGGGAAAGGCTGTGGATGTTGTCTGTTTGGACTTCAGCAAGGCCTTTGTCACTGTCTCCCACAGCACACTCCTGGAGAAGCTGCAGCCCATGGCTGGGACAGGAGCACTCTGTGCTGGGTTAGGAACTGGCTGGATGGCCGGGCCCAGGGAGTGGTGGTGAACAGTGCTGCATCCAGCTGGGGACAGGCACCAGTGGTGTCCCTCAGGGCTTGTGCTGGGGCCTGTTCTGTTCAATGTTTTTATTGATGACATGGATGAGGGGATTGAGCCTGTCACTAGCTAATTTGCAGACACTAAGCTGTGAGTGTGTGTCAATCTGCTGGAAGGCAGGAGGGGTCTACAGAGTGACTTGGAACAGTAGGGTGGATGGGCAGAGTCTAACAAGATGGAGTTTAATAAATCCACATAACAAGTCCTGCATTTTGGCCCTATAACAATAACCCCCTGCAGTGTTATAGGCTGGGGTTGGTGCGGCTGGACAGTGCCCAGCCAGAAAGGGACCTGGGGGTACTGGCTGACAGCAGCTGAACATGAGCCAGCAGTGTGCCCTGGTGTCCAAGAAGGCCAGTGGTATCCTGGCCTGTATCAGGAATGGTGTGGCCAGCAGGAGCAGGGAGCTCATCTTTCCTCTGTACCTGGCACTTGAGCTCATCCAGAGGAGGCAACAAGGCTGGTGAGGGGCTTGGAACACAAGCCCTGTGAGGAACGGCTGAGGTAGCTGGGGGTGTTTAATCTGGAGAAAAGGAGACTCAGAGGTGACCTTATCACTCTCTACAACTCCCTGAAAGGTGGTTGTAGTCAGGTGGGGGTTGGTCTCTTTCTCCAGGCATCATTGACAGAACCAGAGGACACAGCTTTAAGCTGCACCAAGGGAAATATAGGTTGGATATTATGAAAAAGTTTTTTATGGAAAGAGTGATAAAGTACTGGAATGGTCTGCCCAGGGAGGTGGCGGAGTCATCACATCTCTGTATGTGTTTAAAAAAAGATTGGATGTGGCACTTGGTGCCATGGTTTAGTTGAGGTGTTTAGGGCATGGGTTGGACTTGATGATCTTAAAGGCCTCTTCCAACCCAGTGATTCTGTGATTCTACTGGAAATGGCAGATATCTGAGGACTAAGGTAATAATTACATAGGGTACATTCCATTCCTGAAAACCCTAGGTGAAAGACATCCTATTTAACACAGCTTGAGATTACAGGAGATATAAACAAATAAGGCTGTTTGTCGTACTAGCTAGATGCATAAAATTATTTACAACAACCCAACAAAATGAAAAAAACCAAAACAAATCCACTGAGAGACAGCAACACAAATGTTATCAGCTACTCAACCACCACTGAGTGGAAACTACCTCAGTGGTCAGGACTCTTGGCTGCTCTCAGCTCATTGGCACATTCTTGGCTAAAATATGGATTCAGGACCCTGTGAGTATTCATATTGCTTCAGTTAAGGGTCTGTCTACAGGCCTTGCCAAAGGGAGGATACTGAAGGAAGCAGCATATGATTAGACAGATGACAAGTACAGGCTGACAACACAGTAACATATTCACTTCTAGCCCCTTGCTAGCCCCTGTCAGGGGCTTCTGGAGCTGGAGCAGCTTCATGGCTGAGTTTAACAGTCTTTGACAAACTTCCATCCGTCACTTTGGCTAATCACTTTTCTGAGCCCATTTAATCTCTTGGTCTCCGAAACCTCCTGTACTAATGGATTAGTTCAACAATCCACTAACAAGGTATGAAAATATTTCCTTCTTTTTTTTTTTTCCAACTTGCTTCCAAATTATTTTGCGTAATATCTGACTTTGTACTGTTTGCATAGTTTCTTGATCACATTCTTCATAGTAATCTCGTTTAATAAGTCTCTGAATATCTCAGAGAGAATCTTTCTAAGATTAAGAGGATAAATCTTGGCATCCACAGAAGAAATTCCTTACCTCTAATCACCATTATACTCTTCTTTATGTTTTTTCTCCATCTGCTCAGGAATGGAAACAACTGAAAATGTGTACAACACTGAAGATATGAGAAATACTTGTGACTTCTGTACTGGCATCGAGGTATTTTCAATTTCTACCTCTCTTCTTAACAATTAATTGGACTGTATTTGTCATTTTGTCTACTGCTAAGTGATGATCTGATGCTTTCAGAAGCTTCTATAATGATGACAAGATCTCTTTCCTGATTGATAATAGCTAATGAAGTCTGTAATCACAAATGCATCATTTTCCCTTCCATCCCTATCACTTCATGTTTCTGTTTCAACAAGCTTTTTTTTTTTATCCAGTCATTCAGTATTGCATGAATTTTCTGAGGCAGTTTCAATCAATTTCAGTTGGGATTACTCTAATTTTTGCATAGTAAAAAATGTCATTGTGTCTCTATTTGCTCACTCTTCAAGAACATTTGGAACACAGGTTGCAACATATTTATACAGTGAACTCTTGAAGTTATTATATTATTCTTCTCTGTCCCTGAAAAAATTTTTGTGTTATTAAGGTTTCATGAAGATTTGCTAGTATGAGAGTCAGACTTAATGATCTCTGCTTTGGAATAGTGGTTAGTTTAAAATTTTGTCATACTTGTCACCCTCCATTCCTTTCATATTGAAACTTCTGGTACCTTGTAACCAGTAGGATTGTGATACAGTTTTAGGTATGAGCAGGATGAGGATGTTACTCTCCTAATCTTTCATCTGTTAATTGGATGCTCTGTAGAGAATGATGTGAGATGTAATTAACGTTTTCAAGTTCACAGCAATTACCTGTAGCTTTTGCTGAAAGTTGATTTTAGCATTAACCTTTATATGGTTGTCAATTAGTCAGAAAAAAATGCATCTTATCTTACTGTGTTTCCCATAACAATTCTGTCTGGAGACTGCTCCATCATTTCTGGTGGCCTTTATAAAGATGGGCCATGCCTATTCCCACTTCTTCTTCAAACAGCTGTGATGGGGCAAGGATGACAATTCATAGTTTCTGGAGATGATACCTTGGTGCTGATATTTGTTGAGGCTAATGATGGGTCGGAGTTACAGCAGAGTGACTGTGACCTTGCAGTCTATCTTTTAGTAATTATTTTAGTTTTTAGGAGGCAGTTTCCACCACCATTAACAAAAAGGAGGAAGTTTGTATAGCAAGCATCTTTTTCTGGTTGTCTACTTGTTATTTTTGTATGATCACACAGTAACATAAACCCTTCCAACACATAAAACTGCCTGTTTTGAAGTTTACACAAAGGCGGTTCGCACATTTGATTTCCCATGTAAATGAGATGTAAATCAAGTGTAAACAAGAAGCAAGTCACTGGAGAGAGTCATGGCCCAAGTATGTCAGATGAAATTTCATGCTCAGTAAACATCAAATGTTAGAAAGTTTTATATTTTTTTTAAGATAACTGCCAAATAACTATTGTCTTGGATGGTTGTCTGCTTTAAAGAGGAATGTGCCATTTTAATGAAAACCCTCCTGCTGTTTCACTGCTTTTGTCTATTAAAGACACTTTGCCCCATTTACAAGGTGATTAAAAAGTGATTGCTTTAGTCTTTGTTTATGAGAAAGTACATCTGCTTACTGCATGAGTGTTGTACAGGAATACCTTTCAGCAATTTTGATTTTTGCTGAGTGAATAATCCAAATGGATATTTTTGCCTGGGTTTTGTTTGTAAAGTGTGATTTTTAAAATATGCTGGTTATTTTTCATAGTGCCAGCAGTATGCAGTAAACTTAACCTCTGAAAGGCCTTTTTATAAAGGTAATTTTTTCTTAGCTGAGGTTTGCTGCTGACTGAGATATAGCCCATTGCAGTAACTCAAAAACTGATGTTCTGATAATGCTCATCGCTATTGGACATGAAATGAGTACACAGAAGCTTGGTATGCTTAAAAGAGAAAAAGCGACTAATTTTATTTCTGACCTCACAGTATATAGAATTTTAAAAGTGACAGTGGATTTGAGGATGAAATTGCCACCTCTCCAAACACACTGGTCAAACCAAGTCCACCAATTCCCTCCTCCCACAAAGAATGCAAAACAATCATTATATACATGAACAGTGCATGAGAACTCTAGTAGAAATATGTAAACATTAAAAGGCATGGAAAAGTTTTAAAAGAACTTTAAAACTTTCAAAAGAACTATAAAAGAAAACTTAACACTTTTAAAAATCAGGGCAACATCCACTGACACACCAGCAATGCACCCAGGAATCATAATTTCATGCCTTTATTTCAGAGATATGACTGTCTTTCTGACATGATATTTCTTATTGGTATTGTCAGTTATAGTGGGCTATGTAAAAGCCACAGGAGAATAAATTAATAAAGTGATTAACTACACTAAATCTCACTTAGCCTCTCATCTTGAAAGAAGGTTTTTCACTCAGGTATTGCTGAGATTTGGACCTCTACTTGGAGAGCTTCAATCACTTTCGGATCACTTCTATTTTGAGCTTAAGCAGTTCTGTGCAGATACAGCTTTTCCTGACAATGCATTTGTCTATCAGGACAGAGGTTCCCTCAGTTTTCAAGATGGGGATGGAGGAAAATCACAGATTTCTCTGTTTTAACTTCCCATATGACTTCTCAGCATCTCCTTAGCTCTTTTCACCCATTACTGTGGCATCTATCCCTGCCATTCCTTGAGTCTGTCAAGTCTCATCTTTGGCTCTTCCAATTTCCAAATAGTTTTCCAGGACATTTGAAATAACAATCTGCTTCCTAGCATGGGCTGGGTCACTGCCAGCAGCACTTGGTATGCATCATTGTCCTGGGCTGGTTATGCTAACCCAGCAAGACACTCAGATGCTTACTTAGATTACGCAGCTGCTGGTAATAATTTCCAGTGATCTGCGGTTAAATCACTGATAAAGAATAATTTTTTACATGCCAGCCTATTTCATTATCCTCACTAATAGATTGGGATAAGCAGCAATTTATGATTCCATTGTATCTCCTACAGCCTGGGAATTTGGCTCTTGTCTCAGAAAAGAGAAGCAGTTTTGTTCTGCTTGGGAGGCCACACCTGTGGTAAATGTCCCAGGGATCTTCACATGCCAGCCTCCAGTTCACACTGCCGAGCAACACAGGAGGGCAGGCAATAGATGATTCCACCTGTGAGGTGTGGTCCTTCCACAGGGCAGTCCCAAGCCTGAGCCTCCAAAAAGCTCTGTGGAGGGCACAGCAAGGCCTCAGTACCAGCTCCTTTGCTCTGTAAAAGTAATCCTATTTGACCATTCTATTTAATAGTGTAGACATAGCTATAACTCTAGAAATACAGGGAAATTAAATAACAGCACTGCTTTTCAGATGGCTGTTTCCTTTCTGTCCCAAGAGTCTTTTCACTCTGAAAACTTCTCCCAGTTGAGAAGGCTGGGAATAATGATTACAGTTTTACTTTCTTTAATAGAAGCTTTAATGGGACTCCATTGTGGCTTAACCTCAGTCAACAACTAAGCCCTGCACACTTGCTTGCTCACTTCCCGCTGGTGGTTTGGGAAAGAGAATCAGAAAAGTAAAAATGAGAAAACTCCTAGGCTGAGATAAAGACAGTTTAAATGGTAAAGCAAAAGCCATGTAAAGCAAGCAAAGCAAGACAAGTAATTCATTCACCACTTCCCAAGAGCAGGGAGGTTCTGGAGATGGCAGTTCAGCCATCCCCAGAAAAGCAGGGCTTCACCACACATAACAGTGACTTGGGAATACAAACACCATCACCCTTCCTTCCTTCCTTCCTTCCTTCCTTCCTTCCTTCCTTCCTTCCTTCCTTCCTTCCTTCCTTCCTTCCTTCCTTCCTTCCTTCCTTCCTTCCTTCCTTCCTTCCTTCCTTCCTTCCTTCCTTCCTTCCTTCCTTCCTTCCTTCCTTCCTTCCTTCCTTCCTTCCTTCCTTCCTTCCTTCCTTCCTTCCTTCCTTCCTTCCTTCCTTCCTTCCTTCCTTCCTTCCTTCCTTCCTTCCTTCCTTCCTTCCTTCCTTCCTTCCTTCCTTCCTTCCTTCCTTCCTTCCTTCCTTCCTTCCTTCCTTCCTTCCTTCCTTCCTTCCTTCCTTCCTTCCTTCCCCCAGTTCTACTCACTGAGCATGACACCATATATTATGGAATATCCCCCTGTTCTGTTGGAGCCAGCCCATCGTGGATGTGTCCCCTCACAACCGCATGCTGAAGGAGTGAGCTGAGAGGCAAATCAGGTCTTGGCTCTGTGCAAGTGCGGCTCAGCAACAGATAGAACACCCCAGTGTTGTCAGCACTGTTTTCAGCACAATCCAAACCACAGCCTCATACCAGCTACTATGGAAAAAAATGCACTCTGCTGCAGTCCAAACCAGCACAAACATGCATACAAGGAGTAATAACAATAGAAGAAAAGATCAGGAAGAAAAACAGCTCTTAGTTCATAGTATCACAGAATCACGGAATTGTTTGTGTTGGAAGGGACCTTAAAGATCATCTAGTTCCAGCCTCCACCAGGGGCAGGACACCTTCCAGTTGGTCAGGTTGCTCAAAGTCTCGTCCATCTTGGTGTGGAACACTTTCAGGGATGGGGCATCCACCACTTCTGTGGGCAACCAGTTCTAGTGCCTCACCAAGAGTCTCTTTCTAATACATAATCTAAATCTACCCTCTTTGAGTTTAAAGGCTTTCCCCCTGCTCCTTTCCCTACGTGCCCTTGTAAAAAGTTCTGAGTAAATAACACCAGCAAGAAAAACTTTACGCAGGGGGAAAGAGAAAAACAAATTTTCAGTTCTCATCTGAAAAAAGAGCTGCACAAGGGAGATGGAAGGTAACCAACCACAAATGAAATCAGTTTCTAGGGCACTTGACCTTTACTGAGTATTATCAACCAAGATGAGAAAAAAAACCTGAATAAATTCTGGGTCCAGTTCTTTTATTTTCTGTACTAGAAGTGGCGGTAAGTCAGTCAAATCCCACACACTCACACACACAACCTCCATACACACACTCTGGATTGAGTTAAATCCTTACATGGCTTTGCTGCGTCTCTTCTAAGCAAGCAGGCAATAATATTTACATTGGGCAGGGGGAGGGCTCCCCAGGGAAACCCATGCAA